TTCTGGAAGCTCTCGGTAAGGAAGTGACTTACGAGCAGCTCCTTGAGGCATTGGAGACGAGATATGGCGACGCTCACCTGGAACACGTCTTTCGTGCGCAGCTCAAAGACCGCGTGCAACGCAGTAACGAAAACCTTCAGCAGTGGGCCCTCGAGGTGGAGAAGCTGGTTCGAAAAGCATACCACTCTGTACCTGCGCTCATTGTAGGGAACCCGGTGCAGACATTCATCGACGGCATCCGCGACCTTGAAGTCAGAGCTGCTGTTAGGCTCGGGCACCACGTGACTCTTAAGGACGCCTTGACCCATGCACTGGAGGTGGAAGCCGTGCGGCAGGATCATCGTTCCCATCGCGTCAGAGAGGATGCAGCAGCTACATTTCGGGACCGCAATAACGGCTACATCCCTAGGTGCTACGACTGTGGGGAAGGGGGCCATTTTCAATGACCTTCCATGAAAAGTGGCTCGAACCTTGGTCAGAACCACCGACATCTCAGGAGTACGAGTGCTGAACCTTTGTGATCAGGAACAGATTATAGAAAAAGGCGCATTGGTTGGTGCTAGTGAGGAACCCCCAGCAAGGATGGACAAACGAGAGTGACCACACTTTTTGAAGACTGTCGCAGCGTTCTCTCCCCGAATGAAATGGTCAAGGCGAAGAAGTTGTTACTCAAGTACGCCAATGTTTTCTCGTCAAACAAAGCTGACATAGGAAAGACTGGCTTAGTTCAACACAAAATAAACACAGGAGAAGAATTGCCTATTCGTCAGCGGCCAAGAAGATTACCTGTAGCGCGTGAAAAGGAAGTGGAAACCATGATTGAGGGAATGGTGAAGGATGGTGTTATTGAACCTTCATCTAGTCCATGGTGTTCACCTGTGGTGCTGGTAAAGAAGAAGGACGGCAGCATGCGGTTTTGCGTTGACTACCGCCGCCTGAACGACGTTACGAAGAAGGACAGCTATCCCTTGCCAAGAATTGATGACACGCTGGACATGCTTACAGGCGTAAAGTGGTTTAGTACGCTGGACCTGAAAAGTGGCTACTCGCAGGTTGAAATTGACCCTAAGGACAAGGAGAAAACTGCATTATCCACAGGAAAGGGTCTGTGGCAATTTAAAGTTATGCCGTTTTGATTGTGCTATGCTCCAGCAACGTTTAAAAGGTTGATGGAGCTTGTACTTACCGGGCTAATTGGCGATGCCTGTCTGGTCTACTTGGATGATATCATCATCGTAGGCCGTACGTTTGAGGAACATCTTCAAAACCTGGAACGCGTGCTCATGAAGATTCAGAGTGCTAACCTCAAGTTGAGTCCGAAGAAGTGCTCACTATTCAAACGGCAAGTTAGCTTTTTGGGGTATGTAGTGTCGGAAGAAGGTATCCGCACAGATCCAGAGAAAATTGCCGCTGTCAAGGATTGGCCGGTTCCAAAAGACAACACAGGTTAGAGCATTTTTGGGTTTGTGCTCTTATTATCGGCGATTTGTGAAGAACTTTGCAGATATAGCCAAACCTCTGCACAAGCTAACCGAGGAGAAGCGACATTTCTGCTTGGATGAAAGTTGCGATATTGCATCCCAGAAGCTCAAGAACCGTCTGTGCAAAACACCTATCTTGACGTACCCTGATGCGGGCAAGGAATTTATAGTTGACACAGACGCAAAAAAAAAGTGCCGTGTAGTGGCGGTCAAGAATATCCACTACCCCATATCTTCCCATGGGTATCGTAAAAGGCGACAAAGGGAAACAGGCAGGAGATGGGCAGCAGCATCTTCCTGATAGTTGCCGAAATTACAATAAAAAAAACTGCGGTTGCCAACCCGCTCGCCTAGCGTGGCAGCCATGGCAAATACTCCCCTATGAAGAGAGTAACAAAGAGACGCCCCCAGTCCCCGGTGGCCCCGCTATTCCTGGCTACCGTGGCGACCATGGTAACGGCGGGGCAGGGGGTGCTAAGAATCTCCGGTGGAGGTTCGGTTGCCACCTACGACGACTCGACCTGGCAACGTACAACGCACGCACCCTGAGGACTGACGAGAAGATCGTGGAGCTGGAAGAAGAGATAGACAAGTTGCGCTGGAATATTATAGGACTATCCGAGGTCCAAAGAGAGGGGGGTGACACGGTAATCCTCGAATCCGGCAACTTGTTCTATCACCGGGAGGGCGACCATCTGTCCCAAGGAGGTGTCGGATTTATCGTCCACAAGTCTCTCGTTAACAACGTTGTAAAGTTTAGGAGTGTGTCGACGAGGGTTGCGTACTTTATACTCAGAATTACCAAACGGTATTCGCTGAAGGCCATACAGGTTTAAGCACCAACCTCGGCATAACCCGATGAGGAGGTGGAGGAAATGTATGAGGATATCTCTAGAGCCATGCATTCCTCCAAAACCCAATATACGGTGTTAGTGGGAGACTTCAATGCAAAACTAGGCACAAGAGAGCACGGTGAGCTGAAAGTAGGGAAATTTGGAATAGGGCAACGGAACCCAAGGGGCCAGCAGCTGGCCAACTTCATGGAGAAAGAGGGACTCTTTATGATGAACTCTTTCTTCCAGAAGCGGCGGTCGGATTGAACTACTACAGGAATACGACTTTGTGATCGAACATCGCAGCGGGAAATCTCATGGCAATGCAGATGCATTATCAAGAAGACTTTGCCCTGAAGATTGCAAGCATTGTACCAGGCAAGAGGGTAAGGAAGTGGTATCTGTGTGGATACTCAGGACAGGCCAACTCAGCAATGAGTGGAAGGACAGCCTACAACATGCACAGCAGGAAGATTCGGACATTAAACCGATTCTGGAACGGATGAAGGCCAGTGCTCCTAAGCCCAAGTGGAGCGACGTCTCAACAATGAGTTCGACCACGAAAAGCTATTGGGCCCAATGGGACAGCTTGCTGATTCAGGATGGAGTCCTGTGCCGTAAATGGGGAAATGTTCGGGGAGACAGGTGCCATTTGCAAATGATTGTCCCTAAGGCTAAAGTACCGGATGTTCTACAGCTGTACCATAGTGGTTGTTCAGGAGGCCACCTGGAAGTTAAACGAACTCTACTGAAAATCCGAGAACGGTTTTACTGGGTCCACTGTCGTGATGATGTCGAGGACTGGTGCCGCAAATGTACAAGTTGTGCGGCTGTAAAGGGACCTCAAATTCGTAGTAGAGGCGCATTGAAATTGTACTATGTTGGTGCACCATGGGAGAGGATAGCCATTGAAGTTGCGGGGCCGTTTCCGGAAAGTGAAAGTGGTAACAAGTATTTCATGGTTGTAATGGGTTACTTCACTAAGTGGCCAGAAGTCTTCGCCATTCCAAATCAAGAAGCCTCAACAGTTGCAGATAAACTAGTTTATGAAATCTTCTGTCGTTTTGGAGTACCTTTAGATGTTCATAGCGATCAAGGAAGTAATTTTGAGTCTCAAATATTCCAGGAAACTTGCCGAGTTATGGGTACTCATAAAACACGAAAAACTTCTTACCACTCACAATCTGATGGAATGGTAGAACGATTTAATCAGACATTGGAGAGGTACCTAGCAAAAGTTGTGGAAAAACGGCAACGAGACTGGGACAGGCACATACAACCGTTTTTGTTGTCATATCGAAGCGCTGTTCACGAAAGTACATCAGTGACACCAGCTTTCGCAAACTTAAAAAAAAATACCACCTGATGCCCCACGCAGTATAACCGATTATGCAAATGACTTGCGGAACAAAATGAATGACATTTATGAGTACGTCAGACAGACGGGCCAGCAAACGTCTGAGAAGATGAAAACACGGTATGACCGCAAAATGAACAAAAAGGGGTTTGACGAAGGTTCACTAGTGTGGTTACATAATCCAGTTCGCAGCAAAGGGAAATCTCCTAAGCTTCAAGCTAAATGGGACGGACCGTACCGAATTGTGACAAGGATCAATGACGTAACCTACCGGATACAGAAAGGTGCCAGAGGTACTCCTAAGATCGTCCATTTGGATCGACTGGCGCGTTATTATGGGGCGAATAATGCTCGGGACGAGCATGTCTTAGGAGGGGGCAGTGTTGCGCGCCACTATTAATGTCTTGAGCATGGCAAAACTAGTTACACTAGCGCCGAGTAGCAGAACTAGGAGAGTCAAGATCCTTCCAGAAATTTCGGGACCGATATGTACTCGAACATTCTAGATGTCGCTACAGTAGAAGGTTCCGGAAACTATCTGAGGCCCTATATAAGGCCGGTATAGACCACGACCAAGGCAGTATTAAATTGGCGATACAAGAGAATACTTCGAAGCGAAATAATTGCTAACCAAAGTGAAAATTGTGTTTTATAATTGTGTGGTTTTAGATTGTAATTAATGTTGTGTAATTAAAGTGTCAATTTTGGTAATTCAATCCGTAGTTTTTAATTGTCTCAAACCCCAAGCTCGTAACAACACGTTGCTTCGTACCAAATTTTAAGATTCTGAGTTCATGGGAAGTAACCTGTAGGTTTTGATTCCCTTGCGAATGTCGAAATTTGCGGGATAAACGGATTTTTTCACAGCGCCAAGGGACAGTAGATTTGAGTATTTGATATGAATTTCAGCTTGATACCTCCACGCGTTCCTGAGAAAAAGGGACTTGACAGACAGACAGACAGACAGACGGACAACAAAGTGATCCTATAAGGGTTCCGTGTTTTCCTTTCGAGGTACGGAATCCTAAAAACCATTAAAATGATAGGACTCAATATCTGCCTGGAAGTTCGTCTAAGTACCAATCTCGTACTTTGTTCTGCAGTCAAGCAGCTGTGCGTGTGCATTGCTGTTTTCCGCTCTGAATAAAATAGAGAACTCGTACAAATTACAGACTGTGAGGCATTACTCTCATCATCTTAGTATTCAAAGGTGACAACGCATCTGTAGCGTGAAGTCAGCTGCAGACTACAGGGCTACAGTAACAACTTCACCATAAGGGGCACAGTTAGCCCGCTTGCAGTTTAACTTTCTTTTTGAATGTCACTCACCTTGTACCAGCCTGCCACTCCACGTTATCCATTAGACTCCAAACTGTATATCCTTTAACAGTCGTGCCATCTTCGATAGCGAGAAGTAGCGCGTTCAGATATAGCCTCATGTTCTCCACCCGGCTTCGATCCCACAGCCCCGTCTTAGTCGACCAGCCGTTTTCCGTTATATATATAGTTGGGTAGTCATAATTTTGGTTTATATATATACATAATTTGTACAGACCGTATGGAGCGCTCTGGTTAAAAAAAAGTTACGTAAAGTAGCAGCCTATATTTCAAAATTAACATTAAAACTGAACATTTAATGCAACTAATTTTACAGATAATATCACGTTTAATTTAAACTTTTTAATTCACTACGTTTCGAGTGCTTCACAGCACCCGTGGTCACGGTGAGGACTGAGGTGCTTGACGTATCGATGTCATAGTTAACCCGGCTACCCTCAGTTTTCGAATATTAATTTTGGTCCAATCTCGCGTTTTTATGGATCTTTTCTTTTCTTTGATCCAACGTAAAACATTATATAGTGACGTGAAGCACCGACGCTCAGGGGAGTCTGCAGTCTGTGACCATGTTCAAGATCAACCCCGCCATTACATTAGATTTGATAGACCACAAATGCTCGTAAAAGGTCACGGATTCCTACCAAGGATGTTTCGAGATTATTGAAATAAAAAAAAAACATCTTAATTTCAATAGAGGAGATGGATGGTGCTACCATCTGCTTAGGATCCTGTAATTAATAGAATCAAATACAAATCTAGGCATACCACTTAAAAATACTGTAAGCTCGTTCTGCGTAGATCGGACCAAAAATTAATATTCAAAGACTGACGGTAGCCGGGCTAACTATGACATCAGGACGTATCACCTCAGGCCCCCCGTGAGCAGTATATGTGCGCAGTAGTAGATGTGCGCAGTAAAGCACCCGAAACATTGGGAATTAAAAAGTTTAAATTAAACGTAATAAAATCCGTAAAAATAGTTTCATTTAATGTGTAGTGTTCGCGTAAATATAAGAAATTATTACATAAAACTGAAACAAACAGGAAACTGGTAAACTTAAACGTGATAGAGTCATGCTGCAGCTATATATTACTGGTATAGTTGAATCACGAATGCGTCGGCTCGACCGGGGAAGGACCACGCTCACATAGAATACCAGCGTAAAATAGCAGCTTAACACTGCTGTGTTTCGTACGGTGAGTGTAGAGAACCGGAGACCCTTTTTACTGGAAAGGAGGCATTCCATCATCACGGGTGACAACGCATCTGCATTTTGATTCGTAATCGAGGATAGATGTAGATGTCTATGGACTGCAAGTTCGTTTGTCACCCTTATTCTATTAAAAAAAACTGAAACAGGAGATGGGCAGCAGCATCTCCCAGATAACAGTAATTGTGTATCGCCATCAACGCAAAGTCAGGAATTTGCATTTAGAAAACCCCAAATTTAGGGGCTTTTCATGTGCTAATTAGGTGCCAAGTTTAAAAATTAGGTGCTCTAAAATTTTCACCGCAACGAACTGTTGAAATTTGCGTTGCTAGCAAAACGAATCGCTAGGAATTAAGTGCTAATTAGGTGCTGCAAGCAAAAATTATTAATTTTTGTTCCGATCTACGCAGATAGATAGAAGATACTGTAAGTTCATACTAATTTAATACTTGCTTTTAGAAACTAAAACTAAAACTAACTAAACTAAAAATAACTTTGGGTTTTACTAAATGCAAATTCCTAACTTTGCATTGCTGGCGGGACACAGCTTAACAACTCAAAATCAATTATTAAGATTTAAGATCATCAAATACCAATTATTTAATAAATTATTTTACAAAAAAATATATACAATATTAATAACTATAATAATAATAAAAAAAAACTAAAACTAGAAACTTAATTATCATATAGTTCTATACTCCCCGCGGTATCGTGCCATATTTTATAAATTGTACGTTTCTTTTTTTTAATCTACAAGTTTTTCCGATCCTTCCTGTTCTTTATCTGTTCTTAAAGTTTCATCATAATCGTAATAGTCATTCCGAAGATTAGATCAGACAGACAGACAGATAAAAAATTTAAAAATGGTTATTTAAATATTTACCGTGTAGTGGCGGTGTAAGAATATCCACTATCCCATATCATACCGTGGGTGTCGTAAGACGCGACAGAGAGAAACAAATCGGGAGATGGGCAGCAGCGCCTTCCTAATAACGACTAAAAATAAACGTGGCGGTTGACAAACCGCTTGCCAATCTATGGAGCCTATCTATAGAGGAGGCCTATTCTCAATAGTGGACTTTAATAGGCGGTAACGGTAACGATAACTGTATTTACTTACTTATCTTAATAACATCAAATAATCCCCTGAGATTAATAGAAGCCAGTTATTTCAATATTACAGACAGACACTTCCAATTTTATTTATATGTATGTGTGATTACTCACTCTAAGCCACGAGGGCTGTGACTGATTCCGCTTCTCGTCAAGCACAATCTCAACGCCGACATCGTTTTCGAACGACGGCGAATGGATATATTTGGCAGAGGCTTTCACCAAGTCCGTCGTGTAGTGATTAACGCCTAGAAAATCTGCCGAACCTGTTTACAATCATATAATAGAAAATATCGACAAAGATGTGTGTATTCGACCGGGGAAGGCCCAAAGCTCTCACAGAATACCAGCGTAAAATAGCAGCTTAACGCTGCTGTGTTTCGTATGGTAAGTGTAGTTCCATCTCAGTCCTCAGGGGTGACAACGCATCTGCATTTTGATTCTTAATCGAGAATAAATGTACGTAAATGTCTATAGGCCACAGCATCCACTTACCATCAGGTGGACTGTGAGCTCGTTTGTCACCCTTATTCTGTAAAAAAAGTCCAACAACACATAACGCTCTCGGAATTAAAAAGAAGCTTGTGCCTAACCGTGGGACTTAAATTATTAGTTATTTTTATTTTTGACAACCATCACATTATTTCTGCACGTCTCAGGTTGACTGAGAGAGAATGCCAAAAGGCATTCAAGTACGCTCCTTGTAATCCTTTTTATTAAGATGTATACTATTAAGTATAAATAAATAAATAAGAGACGTCTTACCTCTCAGCAGTTCGATTTCCTCGGGACTTAACACGGGGAGTCTAGATTTACTAAAGCCCTGCTGTTTGCTCTTCTCGGCCACGATTTTCTTGACTATAGACGGGAAGTCACCGTTCTTCGACCATATTGGATTCAGAAATAGGTCAATCTGGAACACATGCCGCGGAAAAATTATAATTTTGAAGTTAACCGTGCCGCCGTTGCCGTTTAGTGGCGGTGTAAGAATATCCACCTTCCCATATCGTCCCCTGGTTGTTGTAACAGACGACAGAGGGAAACTGAAACAGGAGATAGGCAACAGCATCTTCAAAAATTATAAAAAAACTACGGTTGCCAACCCGCCTGCCAAGGGTGACAATTAAGGTCAAATCCCCGCTAAGAGACATTCTAAGTGAGAGACTGTTCAGCAGTGAACTTTTCATAGGCTATAATTAATAAATTACACACCGTCGCCATTTGCATTTCGGTAAATATGGTACGAAAATGAAAAAAGTAAATATTTGGCATGAGACATACGAAAACACTGGAAGAATGAAACACCGTCATTCAGCAAGCGTATGATAATTATATAATTTGGCTGAATAATTATATATATATATATATATATATATATATATATATATATGTATATATAATAAATTTTGCGTGTTGCGATCTTTTCTTGAATATGTCATTTATTTACATGTAATATTTTTCTTTTGGGTACGGAACTAGGGTTGCGTACCCAAAGGGTAAGACCCTATTACTAAGCCTCCACTGTTCGTCCGTCTGTCCGTCCGTCAGTCCGTCCTTTTGTCTGTCAGCGGGCTGTTTCTCATGAACCGTAATAGGTACTTCAAATTTACACAGAATGTGTATTTCTGTTTCTGTAAATAAATAAAAAATTAAAATAGGCTCCACTACTAGAAACGCGTATTACGATGGTACGGAACCCTTCATGCGCGAGTCCGACTCGTACTTGGACGGTTATTTCTTTACACTTCTTTTGTCGTCAAATAAATGAAGTTATTTTTCATCGCTCTCTATACTAGAAAACGCTCAATTCCAGCAATAAACAATTTGGGGCTGATAAATAAATCAACCAAAAAAAATATTTATTTTTATTTATTTATTTATTTATTTATTTAACAATTTATGTACACACAAAATAATGTTACAAGGAAGAAAAAAAAAAGATATTTTGTACAAAGGCACTGCTTATTTCATATTGAAATTTCTTCCAGCAGGCCTGTTACTGGACAAATTAAAGAGAAGCTGATCTAGTGTGCACTCTCATAATAAAATTTTATAATATTAATATACTTAACATAAAGTAAAGATAATAAAAACAAATATCCATGTAAACATACATAATAACTAAATACCACTATAAATACATATACACACATACACACACATATATATTATATATATATATATATATATATATATATATATATATATATATATCTTACATATATAAATATAATAATGTATATAATCATTGGGACGACAAAGAAAGATAGTGCTCTTTGACTCGCCTTTTGAACACGGACACTGATTGAGCCTCTCGAATTGCAGCAGGAAGAGAATTCCATAACCTAACTGCATGTACTGTAAAAGAGTGAGAATAGGACTTAGTTTTAGAGGAAGGGATATTTAGGAGGGTTTTTAAATGTGATCTGCAAACTGCATCGCGGGAGTGCGCAAAGTGAAATCGATCACGTAGATAGGGTGGTGATGTTGGATTGTATAGTATTTTTTTTTTTTTTTTTTTATAGGATCGGGTGACAAACGAGCACACAGTCCACCTGATGGTAAGTGGTTACTGTGACCCATAGACATCTACATCTATCCTCAATAAAGACTCAAGATGCAGATGCGTTGTCACCCGTGAGGACTAAGATGGAATGCCTCTTTGCCAGTAAAAAGGGTCTCTGGTTCTCTACACTCACCATACGAAACACAGCAGCGTTAAGCTGCTATTTTACGCTGGTTTTCTGTGAGAGCGTGGTCCTTCCCCGGTCGAGCCGACCCATTCGTGCTACAACCATAATATAGCTGCAGCATGGCTCTACCACGTAAATGAGTAGTATGTTAAAGAGGAGGCATAGGATTAGGGTATTCCTGCGAAGTCGGATTGGGAGCCACTTGAGCTGTTTGCGATAGGAGGAGACGTGGTCATACTTTTTTAGTCCGAAAATATAACGAATACATAAGTTTTGCAAGCGCTCAAGTTTGTTTAATTGCTCCTCAGTCGCATCCAAATAACAGACATCAGCATAGTCAAGAATCGGAAAAATAAGTGTTTGGACTAGAGAAATCTTCGTTGATAACGGCAGAAAATGGTGGAGGCATTTTAAGGAATGAAAAGTATAATAGATTTTCCTGCTAATTTCTGTGTCTTTTCTTTTTATTTATTAATTTTATTTATAACACAAACTTTTACATTGATTCCTTGGCCTCATAAGTTCATTTTCTATATAGTAATATAAAGTTATATAGATATATTAGATATATTTAAAGTTAAATATTTTTATTATAACACTCTAAATTGATAACTTACATTAAATCCCCGGAATACCTCCGTCGCCTCTACATTCTCCGTGCTATTATCAACTGGGTCTGCCCAATTTAGTGACATTGATATACCAACGGATCCTGAAAAAAAATAGTAACCTGAAGTGGTAACACGTCGGTCGTATAGCCAGGAGAAAAGTTATCAAGTGGCTAATACAGTATAGGGCGACACTTCAACTAGATTTGTGTACGTGGTAGAGCCATGCTGCAGCTATATTAGTAGTATAGTTGTAGCACGAATGGGTCGGCATAAAATAGCAGCTTAAAGCTGTTGTGTTTCGTATGGTGAGTGTAGAGAACCGGAGACCCTTTTTACTGGAAACGAGGCAATTCCATCTTAGTCCTCACGTGTGACAATGCATATGCATTTGGATTCATAATCGAGGATAGATGTATATATCTATGGGCCGCAGCAAACACTTACCATCAGATGGACTGTGTGCTTGTTTGTCACCCCTATCTTATAAAAAAACCTAGATAACGTATTGACCTGAAAGAGCTGATGGATCCTGGTTGCATTGCGCTAGGATCCTGGTGGCATTGCGCTATGGCAGTCTTTAGGGGTGGCCCACGCCATGCGTGGACATGTGGTGAACTGCAATAATATCATCCCTAACCTTCTAGCGCCTTATAATATTACTAGGTTAGGCTAGCGAGTTAACACGGGTACCGCCCCGGTTGCGCATAAACTGTACCCTTATGTTCTTAATATAGTCTGTGGTACGATAAAAGTTGAGAGTTTTGGCGCGAATTTCACTGCAAGTGAAAGTTTTGGAGAGTATTAGTAAGCAAACTATAGAGTGCGTGTAAGTGAGTATGAACAGTAAGCACGGGCATGATCAAGCTCAAAATGACAAGGCCGACGTTATTAGTCACCCACGCGTTAATTGTTTCTCTCGACAGTATTTATTTGAATTTTAAGTTACCATGGTGAAATGTACAGTGCCAAGCTGTAAAAACGACTCACGGAAGCAAACTAAGAAGAGCAATGATATTACTTTTCATCGGTATGTTATATTTCGATAAGAAAACATAGATTTTAACAAAATGTTAAAATCAGTGTTTTCTTACTTTACTTAGTGTTTTTATGATCATGGTACTCGTATTAGAAGTTAAGACTATTTTTTGTATTACTAGCCCATACGGATCAATGTCTGAAATAAAACTTTTGAATAGCTTTTTTATACGATAATAAACGTAAATACCCCAAATACCCTCGTGTAAATATCCTCGTGCTCTAAGCCAAAGTTCCGAAACCTTTCAGCTCGAGCTACGAAACCGCTTTCAGTGCCTAGAAGATTGCAATGCAGTGGACGATATGAATGACAAGCTCGTGGAAACTGTCCATGAGGTCATAGCTAAGTTTTGCAAGACCCGCCGCAGAAGAACACAAAAACTCACCGATCACACTCTTAATCTCATGGCTGTTAGACGGGATATGAAGCTGCAGTCTTCAGTAGATTTGACAGCATACAGGCAACTGAACAGACAGATCTCCAAATGCATGCGGCAGGACTTACGCAACTTTAATACTGCTCGTATTGAAGAAGCGATCGAGCGGAACCAGGGCTCCAAAGTCTTTGCTAGAGATCTGTCTGCCAGAAAGAGCCAACTGTCAGGGTCGTTTCCGGGACACCTGCGATTTTGAGTGAGATTGAGAGGTTCTATGGGCAGCTGTACACATCATCGTTGGAGCCACACGCAAGTGTGAGTAACGATCCAAGAGCGAGTCTTATCCGACACTATTCCGAAGATATCACGGACGTCAGTCTGAGCGAGATTAGAATGGCTCTCCAGCACCTTAAAAACGGCAAGGCCCCAGGCGAGGATGGAATTACAGCAGAGCTTCTGAAAGCGGGTGGAAAATCGGTACTTGAAGTCCTTCAGAAGTTCTTTGATTCCGTCCTCCGTGGTGGCATTGCACCGGAGGCGTGGAGCAGAAGTGCGGTGGTCTTGTTCTTCAAGAAAAGTGACAACGCTCTCTTGAAGAACTATAGACCGATTTCCCTTCTGAGCCGCGTCTATGGTGCTATTTTCGAGAGTCATTACGAATCATCTCGCGCGCAGACTTGACGACTTCCAGCCTCCCGAACAAGCCGGTTTCCAAAAAGGCTTTAGCACCATAGACCACATACATACCCTTCGGCAAGTTGTACAGAAGTCCGAGGAGTACAATTTGCCACTATGTGTGGCGTATGTGAACTATGAGAAAGCCTTTGATTCCGTCGAAATTTGGGCGGTGCTGCAGTCCCTTCTGCGGTGCCAAGTTGACTGTCGGTATATCGAAGTGCTTGTACAGTAGGGCTACGATAGCTATCCGAGTACAGAACCAGAGTACGAAACCAATCGAATTGTAGTGAGGTGTAAGACAGGGTGACGTCATATCCCCGAAACTCTTCACCGCTGCATTGGAAGACGTTTTCAAGCTTCTGGACTGGAAAGGATACGGTATCAACATCAATGGCGAATACATCACTTACCTTCGATTTGCCGACGATATAGTCCTTATGGCAGTATCGCTGGAGGACCTAAGCACTATGCTCAATGACCTCAATAGTGTCTCCCAACGGATAGGTCTTATGATGAACATGGACCAAACAAAAATCATCCAGTACTTTTAAATGGTTGACAGGTTCTTAGGACAAATCCAAGCACACGGTAAGCTCTATCTGCTATATTATCATAATGCATATTAAGGAGCATCTTGGAGTCAAAACAAACGCCGAGATCACGTACATCATTGACTCGTGTTAATACTTGATTATTAACGTTATAAGAAACAACAATTGGATTTTTCTTGCACGTAAGGCTTATAATCTGACATTTTTTAATATTGACATAGATCTTAATTTGTTGATAAAAAGAAAACAAGTTATCCAAGTCATATTGTAACAATCTACAATCTTCAACAGAACGAACTGCCCGGTATATTTTTTATCATCCGCATATAATAGGTGATTAGAATGAGAAAAACAATTGTAAAATAGAGCACTATCGGCTTCAACACCCTCGAAAACCATGAAAATGACACCCATGATGAAAAAATTGGTACATCATTCAGCCGCCATCTTAGATTTACATTTCGACAGCACTATCAGCTTCAACACCCTCGAAAATCATGAAAATGACACCGATGATGAAAAAATTTATACCTATTGCAGCCGCCACCTTGGATTTACATTTCGGCAGCAGTCTCGGCTTCAACACCCTCGAAAACCATGAAAATGACACCCATGATGAAAAATTGATAGCTATTGTGGCCGCCATCTTGGATTTAAATTTCGACAACCCTATCGGTTTCAACACTCTCGAAAACCATGAAAATGTCACCCATGACAAAGAATTGATACTACTTACTTTAGTACGTACTGCTATTATTTATTCTGTGCTTTTAAAATATTGTAATAAAAAAATCTTTCATTATTATTATATTCAAGTATTTAAGAAATTTGGTTATTCGAATATTGTGTATTTGTACAGCGATCTTTTTGAGCCGCTGCAAACAACCGAAACAAAATTCACTCACGACGGCGGCTTCCGCCTATTTACAGAAATAATTTACATACAAGGCTACCAAATCAACGAAAATTTCGCCATTTTGGAGCAGAAAAAAATTAGTTACAGCTAAACAAAACAAAATTACACTGCCATTTACATTCAGTGGATTCCCACATGATAGATGAAGAGATTAAAAAATAGATTGAGTTAAACAATTGATATTTTCAAAAGTTAGAGTGTTTACAAGCCTTGCGGACTTGATAAATCCACACCATAAGCTACTAAAACCCCTTTTTTATGTAAAAATAGCAATTAATCGATTTAAAAAAAAAATTAATAAGTTCAACAATCATTTATCTTTCTGAAAATGTGCTTTTTATATCATTTATATGTATAATATGATTGCTAAATACGATTTCATTCGATAAAACGTTGGAATGTTAATTTTTAGACGATAGTGGAACATATCTTGCTTCGCTTAAAGGCATGCAAAATTTGTTTACTTATTGTTACAATGCATAGCAGCGTTAGCGTTTGCCTTCCTTTTGACTGAAAGCCTTGTAGCCAAAGCCACAGTTAACTTAGCGCTTCTAATGGCGATCTAGTACCACCTAAAGCATATTATGTTAGTATCAAACGTTAAACTTTGTACTACAAAATGATTGAAATTATTTTAATGAAAACTTTAGTGAATAGACCAACAGGTCGACTGTGCTGACAAACTGTTATACTCACTTCTATTAAAACAACTATATACATTACTTAAAACACTACAAGAGTGATACCTTTATATTTATTTTTATATTCCTTCTGGTAAAGTCTGTAAGCCATGGCATGTGCTAGTAGAATATTTTTTGTACATTGATACTCTGTAATGCCTTTATTTAAATCAGGCGTCATCGCAGTTTCACCATAAGCAGACGTGCAAATTGAATTCGGCTGGTTAATTGTTATCCAATGTTTGACTTTGCTCGCGTATCTGTCAAATACGACCCTTACGTAGTCCACAAACCAGTCGACGGAATGTGGGTTCGCCCAACCCCCCAAGTCTTGCAGCTTCTGAGGTAAATCGAAGTGGTAGAGTGTCACCATGGGCATTATGTTGTATTTCAAGAGTTCGTCGATCAAGTTGTCGTAGTATTGGAAGCCCAGCTTGTTTTGTTCGTTGGGGAACCCTGAAATGGAATGGATAGTTATATAAAATAAAAAGTTGCAGCAAGCGCCGTTCTCGCGTGCGCTGCGTATGATTAACACCATGTCGATGCGAACCGATTTGTTTTCATGTTCGCTGAGTGAGCTCAGTAAAATGGCATAACATACTGTATCGTTTGCTACACTGTTGAATTAGGGTGGTAATGATTGTGTATGTTATGTGTTTGAAAAAATGTACAAAATAATACTCGTAATAATGATAACAGTAAGGTAAAAAAATATACAAAATAATAGTAACGATAACAGTGATGACTCATTATTTTCACCTACACTCTATGACAGTGCCATGACAAAGAATATTAAATTAAAATGTAATTTAAGTATTAAAAAAAATAAAGTTATTATGTATTGTGATGACATAGGCAAAAATTTTGGGCATAATGTTGAATAACTGTTTAAAAGGCCATCTGATTAGTAATTATTGTATGCCTGCTAGGTTTTCCAAACGAAAAATCGGTACCTACAATATTTAATTCTTAAAAGAAATCGATATCGATTCTTAATATATAATATAATATTCTTAATACTAGAATAAATTAGAAACAGATAATTCAAAACACAAACGTTTCTTCATATTTATTGCTTACTGTTAATTTCTGGAAATAAAGTTATATAAATTAAAGACGGCACTAGATTAAAAAATAAATTTATTTAATCACTTTCACTACCAGTTGAACTGTCGTTGTTTATACCAATTATTACTTGATTTTCTATAATGCATTCAAAATTAATGTCTCTTTCATAGTCGTCCAGAACAATTGTCTTTGTATTCTCTTTTAGTTGACGTTTGGCCATGTTTCATAAATAGAATAGAATAGAATCATTTTGGATCAATATAGATAACAAGAATAACATATTACAGCGGGACTTTTTAGAAAAAAGAATAATTTACAATGTAATATTTTTTTAATAGGGAACATTTTTTTAATAGGAATATTTCACCTGATGGTAAGTGGTTGCAGCGGCCCGTAGACATCTACATCTATTGTCGTTTGCGAATCAAGATGCATATGCGTTGTCAGCCGTGAGGACTAAGATGGAATGCCTATTTTTCAGTAAAAAGCACACACAATTAAGTTGCAATTTTACGCTGATGATCTGTGAGGGCGTGGTCCTTCCCGGTCGAGCCGACCCATTCGTGCTACAACCATACAATTAATATAGCTGCAGCATGGCTCTACAATGTATAAAACATTTAGAAACATCATGGTGGCGATCACCTCATTCCTAGTGGTTATTAGTAGTAATTTACTCTGTAGTAGTATTAACTTACTAAACAATTTTCGCTTTACAACATTTTTAAACCCTTAAATAGATAGGGCCTGCATATTTTCTGGGATTGTGTTGTAAAACATTGCCCCGTGAAGGAATTACTGACTCATTTTAATTTAGTAACTGATACCAGTTACTAACTTGTGCTGGTTCCTAGTATTTGCAGAATTTAAAAAAACACTATTTAAAAAAAAGCTATTTTTGTTTTTGTGTACATACATTAAATTTTCGTAAATATATTGATAGGGCTAAATTAATATATTTATTTCTTATAATTTTTCTCCAAGGGGTTCCTTCGGACCTAGGTTATAAAGTGACCTTATGGCTCTCTTTTACAAACAAAGATAGTTTCAATGTAAGTCGCATTACGCCATATCAGGATTCCATATAACATTATGCTGCTATGCTATGGAAATAAGTAAAATAAACTAATCTAGCTGTTTCAACACATGCAAGGCCTCTAAATTTTTTTAAGAGCATTGACACAGATTTTTACAGCAATGAATATAAAGTTGTCCCAATTGATTATATTTTTAATGTTTCGTAAAGATGTTATGCGTCTTTTCATTACGTCTCTAAAAATTATTCCGCGGTTTTCAATTTTTTTTGTATCGGAAGCCAATTTCTTTTCAATTGGTTCTCAATGATTTTACTATTTATTGTACAAGCCCGCATTTTCTAAATTACACACAATTTCGCCGCAGTGAGTTTCACAGAAATAATTAAAAGAAATTAAACTTGTTTAATACAACATGATTCATATAGTTGCAACTCTAAAAATGAAAATTTAAATAAACAAATTGAATATTTTTACCGATTATTCGTATTATCATGAATTTGTATCATTCAAACACTACGGTAAGGTACATAACCACGTATCATTGAAACAACGTCAGCAAAAAAAAAAGTTGATTCTGGTTATTTTTTTTTAAATATTTTACTTTGTTTGAAAGATTCGAATTTTAATTAGTAGATAATAAAGAACTTTACATGTTGTAATGAAATATAGATAACTTCATAATTATTTGGATATACGCAAATGGTTATTTGAAATCCTGTGAGGAGACTTGTACAAAGTTATTGCGGAACGATTAATGTGAAACGTCAAAAGGTATTTCTGAGATTTGGTAGAGTATAGCATCTATACAAAGTTTCATGGATGTGATCCAATTTTCGAAACACTTTTCATCGCATCGCAACGCATCTTCCGGCGATAAAACTGTGCCGCTCTTAGTTAATTTTAGGAGAATATAAAGAAATCACACGGTGCCAAATCAGGGTTGTAAGGAGGAACTTGACTGCGTCATTGATCTAGTGGTCACAAACACACACCAACACTACACACTCACCTAGTGTCACAAGCACAGTTAGGACAACGGATGGGACGCAGCGCGTGTTCAGACGGGCGTGCCGCACCCCGAACATCGAACGTCGAACGTTCGAACATCGAATGATACGAATTAGCCGTCAGAGCCTGGGCCCGCCACCCTTGTTCTGACGGCGGTTAGTTAACTCATACATGTCATGATGTGATCACAAAACAGAAGTATATCGATTTTAGTGCAACGTTGCACTAAAATCGATATTCCCATGGTGTTGCATTCTACGAGTAAATAATAGAATAGTTTTCTGCGGTAGGCGTTAAGCCGGCACAAACCGACAACGCTTGGTCACTTTTTTTTATAGGAGAGGGGGCAAACGAGTATGCGGCTAACCTGATGGTAAGTGATTACCGCCGCCCATGAACAACTGCAACACCAGGGGAATTGCAGATGCGTTGCCGGCCTTATAAAAAGGAATACGAGTAGGCTCTTTTCTTGAAGGTCCCTAAGTCGTATCGGTCCGGAAAAATCGCTGATGGTAATCGATTCCACAAGGAAGTCGTGCGAGGAAGAGAACATCTTCTAAATCACACATTGGTGGACCGCTAATCACCCAGATGGTGTGGATGGTATCAGGAGTTCTGCCGCGATGTGCGTTCGTGAAATTTGGCGGCTGAAATTAATCCGAACAATTCCTCAGAGCACTCCCCGTGGTAAATGCGAAAGAAAATGCAAAGAGATGCAACATCCCTTCGCAGTGCCAGTGAATCGAGCCGATCGGAAAGGACTCGGCCGTCGATGATTCGAGCCGCTCTACGTCAAGTGGAAGGAACTGGCACTGGGGAGCCCCTGCCCAGAGATGGGAACAGTATTCCATGTGAGGCCGAACCTGCGCCTTGTAAAGTTGCAGGCGGTGTGCCGATATGAAATACTGTCCCGCTCTGCTGAGCATGCCAAGCTTTTTAGAGGCCAATTTGGCCTTCTCTTCCAAGTGACCACGAAACTGCACGTCACTCGATATGTCGAATACGAGGATTCCGATACTGGCTGAGGCAAGAAGGGGAGCGCCTTGAAACTGAGGAGATACGACAAAGGGGTTCTTTTTAGCGGTATACGCGCAAACTTGTGTCTTCTGAGGATTAAACTGGACTAGATTTAGTTGCCCCCAATCCGAGACTTTGTTCAGCAAAGACTCGATTAATTAGACTTAATTAGTTTACTAAATAATAAACACGTGCAGCATCAATTGACTGTAAATTATCGTGAATTGATGTCTTAAATTGATTATAAAACATCGACTAATGCTATATGTCATCGTTAAATGACATCAATTCAATAAGCGTTTTTAATTTAGTGGGAAACCCTTTTTTTTTTAACATAACAATGAAGGGCAATGTAGATAGTTTCGCAACTTGACACTTAATACGACTATATTAATTATCAAATGAGTTCCAAGCGTTATAATCAATGTCTGCTAAACGTAGTGATTATATTCTCTTTGGTCTGCATTAGGGTTAAATTTTTAATCTTTAACATTATAGTCATCTAAAATTTCTTGAAATTCACTACGTAATTGTTCTATATTCGAAGCGGCACTAAAATAAAATTATGCACGTCCAAAGAATTAAATGCGTCCTTTGAGGATTTGTAAATTTTTTGTAAACGTTCATAATTACAATTACGCTTAGTGATAATATTTAATCTTCTTCTTTATCCAAAACCAGTTTAGATTCTTGAAAATATGATAAAATTCCCACACAGGCTTCAGTGAGGAAGCAAATAAAGAATATTGTTAAAAGACTTAAGCCCTTATAGCCGAGATGACACGGAAGAAGAAGTAAGGTCAGTATCACAAACAGATGATTAGCTAAGGGCAGAAACCTCGCAACCCCAATTCACATTAAAGGAAAAGTTACATCTGGAAATTGATAAGAGTATGAAATCCTCAGATCCCGAAGTACAAGTAGAAAATGAATTGGGGTTGGCAAATAGTATTAGACGTGAAATAAGCATGTTCGAAAATGGAGGAGTTCGTGGATATCATTTAGAAAAATAGCATATAAGTATCTATTGTTTATTCCTTCAACCAGCATAGAACCTGAGCGAGCGTTTTCTGCTTTGTCTAATTTATTTTCTTGCTATATTGTGATTTGTGTTGTGCGAAGATATTAAAACATTTTTTAAAGAAATTACTCAAGTTTCTTTTCATTTGTGCCCAAGTAGTAACCACATAGTTTAATCCTGGGATAGCCCCGGGATCCCGGGATTACGCATCAAAAATCTCGTAATGCCGGGATAAAAAAATGCTCGGAATTGTATTTTACACACTACACACTACATACACTACACACAATACACACCTTATACACCCTACACACACGCAAGTGCGCATTCCGTTGACATCATCATCATCACCATTAGAGCTCATCTCAAGTCCACTGCTGAACATATGCTTAAAATTTTGCAAATTAAAATTGCTGAGTACTTAGTGTCTTATTTTTATAGTAACTGTTTTCACATTAAACTTTTTGTTTACTTTATTGATACCGAAATGCATTTCATAATGTTATATTATTAGCACCATAGATAACTTACCGGAAGGTAGAACCCTGGGCCATGATATAGAAAACCTATAATAATCCACTCCAAGTTCTCGCAGCATTTCAACATCTCTTTTATACTTATGGTAGGAATCACAAGCCTCATCACCATTTCTACCATCCGTAATCACATTAGGATTATCATGGAAGTATCTATCCCAGATGCTTTCACCTTTTCCTGCAAACAAATGAAGATACAGCTAGAAAATCTTACTTAATTAAATATTATGTTTGTGTATTTAATATTATGTTACTGTAATTGATATTACATGCATATTCACAATGTTTTCTATTTTTGTCTACAATAGATCTTGCATAAATTTAATAAACTTGTAAATGAAAAGAAATGCTTATATTTACACTCACAACACCTGTTTCTATGGTAACTTCTCTGTGCAGGCTGCAAGTCTTTGAAATTCCTTACATGATGACATCAAAAAAAAACACCTAGCAAAACCTCTAAGAAATTAAAGTTCTGTGCCCAGGTGTGGGTTGTATATAGGATATTACTTCACTTTACTTTACTAAATAAAAATCATTCAAAAAGCTGTATAATACATTTTTTAATATATACTAGCTGGTACCAAGGGCGTTGCTACCACAGAAGAATTAATTGTGGAAATATCGTTATAAATTTGGAAGAGTTATATTAATAGTTATATATATTGTTTAATTAGGAATGATAATAAACATTCATTGAATTTCAATAATATATAACCTTCAAATAACTTTGTTGGTACGATAAGGGAGTCACTTTCTGTTTTTACAATGCATGTACTCGTATATATTTATAACCTTCGTGCAAGTGCAAGCAATAAGTTGACAAAGTATTAGCACAATCTGATAAACGGTATGGCAGTGCATAAAACACGAACTAACAAATATAATTTCTTTAATTGCTTCATATGTGTCAACTTCTCACTACTTCGTGGGTTGACGTGTAGATAATGCTTGAAGTAATGCCGATATTAAATCCACCCATTGTATCTTTTATTATAGGAAATGGAATAAAGATGCAAATAAATAAATATTTTTATTACAATTTAATAATATGGCAATACCATCAACATTCCAGGCTCCCTCCACTTGATATGCAGATGTTGACACACCAAACTTGAAATCATTACTAAACTTTCTTCGCTTGTTATCACTCCATGCTTCAACTCCTATTAGACTGGAGGAGATGATGATTTGAATGAGTCAAATAAACATTAGAGAATGAGCTATAAGGTGATGGGTTTAAAAAAAAACAATAAAGTGAGCAAGTTGTTAAAATATAAGAAAAGTCAAATAAAATTTCTATATTTAAGTAAGTATTTCACTGTAGCTTTATGTGTTGTAGAGAAAAATAAAGTAATAGTATTGAATGGCTGAAATGAATAATTGACTGTGTCAAAAAGCATACATTAAAATCAAATTTAACATAAGCCTATAAGTATATCCTATTTATACAGGGTTATTTTTCAAAAGTAGCCAAATTTTAAGCTTAAGTTCAGATATATAAATAATGATATATCGTTATTGCAGTTTTTGAAAATATGAGTAAATAAGGCTTCCTACTTTTATATGAAACTAGCTGTGCCCGCGGCGTAGCTCGCGTATATAGATTTTACATAAAGAATTTGTCGTTTAGGTAAGAGAATATTAAACGATTTATATCATTACTGTATCAATAAGTGGTAACAAATAAATCATTATCATCAAAGTTCTAAGTAGTTTATGATAGAGCTTTGGTGTAAACGACGTTAGAAGTAGACTTAGACGGGGTGTACACAAAAAGGTTACGGGGGCTACTAACGCTGGAAAAAGCAACATAGAGTTGGCCATGTGCAAAACAGTCAGTACTGAGGTCCACTCTTACAACGCGTAAATTTTGACCTTGCACTTTATTTACGGTCATCGCATTACACACGCTGACTGTAACTGGGAACTGAACGCGCTTAAAACTGAAAGGAAAGTTACTTCTTAATAGAGGGTTTTTTGGCGCTGCTGCCAGATCAAAAAAACTCATTCAGCGCTAGGACAACACAAAAAGAGCTAGATTTCATGAAAACAGCGCTTTAAAAACCCCTAGATTTCGCGCTAAATTAACTACAAACAAAGTTTGTGTTTTTTATTATAATTTATAATTCAAGAAAATATAATCATAATAAAGAAAACAACATTAAGTTTTTTTCTGGCAATATTTTTTGATGTATCAATACTTCGCAGGACATCGACTTATAATTATGGCAATTGCTGTCAACAGTAGTTAGTACTACTCTAAGTAACTTTTAACTTAGCTGTGCTCTAAACAACTGACTAAAACTGAATAAAGCAAAATAAATGCGTTGCCAAAACCATGAACGAAAACTTTAATGAAGGGGATTTCCCCGCTTATAGTCGTCGATAAAAAAATCAAGTTGATCATCCTAAAGGGGAAGCCGGGAGATCCATAGCACAGGGTATCCTAGTTTGGACTCGTCTCCCATGCTCTTTGTTTTGTGGAAAAAATATGTTTGAAAAAGATAAACTGCAATGTACTATTTGTGGAAAAAAATAATAAAGGTCATTATAATTATTATCGATAATGTGGACTAACAGTGCTGCTATAAAAGAGTTAATAACCCGCTAGTCGCTACAATTTTGAAATGTGTGCTAGATACACCATAAAGCGCTGGATTAAATGCTAGGTGCTAAACTTTCGAAATGCGCGCTATACATTCCAAAAAAGCGCTAAATCTAGTTCCCAAAGCGCTAAAATGGCAGTACTGATTTTGCGTATATTATAAATACAATATCACGACATTTCGTTGCAATTTTGTTATTTTTGTTCGGGTTCCGTTGTATGGCTTCGATAGAGACAAATTTCTTCAGTAAGTCTCAATACGATTCATCGGCGAAAAATCTCAACACAGCAAATCAGAAAAGTTTGTAATTTGTACAACTCCATCTATTACGTCCTTTGTGTGAGAAAACATCCTTTTTTAAATCTCTTTTTATGTTTTAAGTATAAATATATTAATTATTATGGAACGTTTTTTTACACACAAATCTTTTTATCACTATTTCTGAGATTTTTATGGCGCCATTGAACAAATTCGAACCTACATTTTAAAATAATAATCATTACTTTCGATAGAATTAACCAATTTTAATAAAACAAAGATTAAATGTAACTTGAAGATACGCTTTATGATTTTCTTAACGATTTCTTTGAAAAAAAAAGATGTTTTCTTTAGACGTGATGCATTCATATAAAAACAGACAAACAGACAGACAGACAATTCTAAAAATTATAAAAATGTACTTATTTAATTATTTTTAGTTCCCCATAATGATTTTAGTCACCAAAATAAATATAAAATGTACAGAAAGAGACACAACATGTTATCATCATTTTTATTATATGTATATATTTAAATGAAGAGAGATGGCGCTGCTAACATCAACATGATGACTCAAACAAAGCCACCGTTGAGCAAATTCCCTACCCATACTTCAGAATATTTATCATAACTTTTGATGGAATGAACCGATTTTAATGAAATAAAGACTAAATGTAACCCGAAGATACACTTTATAATTTCCTTAACAATTCTTATGATATAAATTAGTACTTTATACGTGATACGTTAACAAACAAACAGACAGACAGACAGACAGACAGAAAATTCTAAAAATGGTAGAAATGTATTTAATTATTTATTTTTAGTACCCCTCAATCACTTTTATTACAAAAATATAAAATGTACAGACATCTGCTATTTACAGTTTTATTATATGTATAGATTATCCCGAATTTTATGTGATTTATATGGGCAACAACTATACGTACGCGCGCTGTTCTGTGTGCGATTCAAATCACAACGATTTTGCCGACCATTCGACCCTTACCAATGTGTAGTAGGTGTTAGATATACCTATATGTATTTATAAACGACAATCAGTTAAAATAATGCATTACCACGCATTTTTAATTTAAAAAATAAATAGCATAGAATGTCGAGATTTTTTTTAATTAGTTTTTCTTCACCGTTTGCCCATATTATTTATTGAACCTTCTCTGCAAATTTGGACGGTTATTGAAAGAAAGAAAGAAAGAAATAAGTTTATTTGGCACGTAAATTACAACAAACAAAAAAAATAATCAAATAGAACAATTTTTTAACTTAACAAAAATATTTAAAAAAGAAATAATAAAATAAACGTAATATGCACCAAAATGGTCTCCACTCAGCTTTAAGTCACGAATTGAAAAAATAATTACATCAATTCGTAACGCTGATTTTATATTATTATTATTATTATTATTATTATAATATAGATTTTATATTATATTTATTGCAAAATAACCCCGTATAAGTAGAGTGGCGGATTTGCTGTTTAATGGCAGCTTAAGGAGAATCCACTATCCCATGGAGGAATGATTTCTTGGGTGTTGTAAAAGGCGACAGTGGAAAATGAAATAGGAAATGGACCGTATCTTCCTAATAACAACGCATAATAACATAAAACTGTGGTTGTCTACTCCTCTACCAAGCGAAGAACAATGGCAAATGTGAGAAATATTTGATATGACTGAGGTGAGGCCTATTTTCGGCTGTGGACTTTGAATAGCTGAAGTGGCAATAGGCAGGCCATATAGCTTGCAGAATTGACAACCGACAAAAACAATAAAGGTTTTCAAAGGCGTCCTACTGGTAAGTGGAGTGTGAGGCACTAGATACAATGATGACCTGATAAATAATGAGTCAGCTTAGGAACGTGTATTATGGCCTTCATTGGGGCATGACTACGCTCAGCAGTGGACTTGTGTGTAGGGTTACCATATCTCAGGATTTGTCCTGAGATTTCAGGATTTTTAGACTCTTCTCAGGATTGCGGCTGAATTTTGCAAATCTCATGAAATCTCAGGATTTTTAGAACTTTCAATATAATACAGCTTACATTTTAAAGATCTCTTTAATAAAAAGTTAAACAAACTAAAAATAATTTTCCTTTGGTAATAATTCCACAATTAAAATCAAAACTTATTTATCCAGGTAGGTACTTAAACAGTTTTATCATACTTAATATGTGAAGATACCTTTTTAAGTAAGGTTTTCTTCTCAAACTGTAACAAAATCTCAGGATTTTTAAATGGAAATCAGGCCTCTTCTCCGGAGTTTTAATTTTTTCATCTGGTAACCCTACTTGTGTGAGGCTATTATGATGCTTATGATGATGAGATTTATTTATTTCTCTTCAATTTCTTATGTTCTAACATTTAAAAGCCTGCTGCAAGTGGAAATATTGATGATAATCAAAACATACATTTTATTTAACAAGAATTGTTGATGAACAGTAAGATATGTTTGACTTAGTGGAGCACTACAATTCGTTTAGATGTTTTTATTTTCTTCACTTACCAAATGTAAATAAGGCACCACAGTAAATTCATTATAAAATGTAAGAATGAATCGTCTTACTTAAATCACTCGCGCTTCATTCAACCTCAACTAACCGAATGATATTCCCAAGGTATAGTCACTAAATGATAACATTACTATCTCTTAGGTCTAGATAAACAAATACGTTTGTGTACGTAGTAGGTACTGGTACGCAGGAACTGGATGCGTGTAGCCGAAGACCGGGTGGCGCACCTCGGGAGAGGCCTATGTCTCGCAGTAGACTAGTCATGTATAGTTCGCAAACGATGAACGAATAGGAAACTTATCTTAGCACTGTACTAGTAGAAAAACGTTACCAAACGCTAGTTGTTAATCGGCATAATAGCTCTATTTTGTACACCTACACAAACAACACGACAGACCGCGCGTGCAAACAAGAGCGTACGACAGCGAGTGAACAAGCGAGTCTGTGATTATGCAGTTCGCACAAGAGCCGACGAATGCTTATAATACTATAATTTACTGATTCCGTTGAAATGAGACTGTAAAGAAAGATACATGCTAGATATATCTATGTAATAACGTCGTATTTAATTAAAAACTTGCATAGTATTTACATTTTTTTTTTATAGAACAAGGGCGACAAACGAGCACACAGTCCACCTGATGGTAAGTGGTTGCTGTGGCCCATAGACGTCTACATCTATCCTCGATTACGAATTAAAATGCAGATGCGTTGTCAGCCGTGAGGACTATGATGGAATGCCTCATTTCCAGTAAAAAGGGTCTCCGGTTCTCTACACTCACCATACGAAACACAGCAGCATTAAGCTGCTATTTTACGCTGGTATTCTGTGAGAGCATGGTCCTTCCCCGGTCGAGCCAACCCATTCTTGCTACAACTATAGTGGTAACTCTACCACGTAAATTAATTAATTATGTGACTAAAAACACACTGTCATTATTTATTTTATTATGCAATTCTATTTCGTATATACCTAACTAACAACAGTGTCTATCGTAAATAATTTAAAATTAAAAATTTTGTACAGCCGACTTCAATATAAGTTATTTAAGAATAACTTAAAAACTATTGGTCTGACCTTGATCAAATTCATATGGGACCACACGAGAAGTACCAGCTTTCAAATAAAAAAAGAATCATCGAAATCGGTTCACCCAGAAAAAAGTTCTGAGGTAACACACATAAAAAAAAAAAAACGAAAAAAAAACAAACATACAGTCGAATTGAGTACCGGCTCCCTTTTGGAAGTCGGCAGATAAAATACAACTGCGTGTCCTATTTACAGTGCCAGCTAGTACCCCTTTTGCCGGCTCCCGTACGACCAGCTATGGTACAGTTTTTGTTATGAATTATCGCTCTAATAGTATTATTTTTTTATTAAAAAAAAGTATACATATAAGTCTTAAATTTTGGGTGTTTTCTTAATGGCAGAACTATTGATTTAATTAAAATAATATTTATTTGTGTTGGTGTTGGTTTTAAATTGTAAGTTACTTAGTAAGTGGTAATTAGTTGTACTTTTTATATGCATTTTCCTAAAACAAAATGGAGGAGGATCCCCCCGATCAGAATGGGTTTTCTGGTAACACTAGTCCTCAAGCATCAGTTTATCGCACCGACCGCAAAATCGTAGTAATTCAATTTGCCCACAAAAAATTGACAATAAATCCAGCACAACATTTACTATTGAGCCTTTATATACCCATCCTGATTATATTAAAAAAAGTCTAAATACTCTGAAGAGGTTCCTTCACCTTTTATAATGCATGTGAGCATGATTTATCATCTGGAAAAACCTATTAACTTTGGGCACTTTCTACTAATATCAAATATATAGTTTACCATGGTCTCAAACGAGTAGCACGTAATGGAATATCTGTTAAATTTAAAAAAAGAAGCTGACGCGAATACTTTAATTGATTATCCAGACCTTTTGATGCAAATTATGAAACTGATAAACTATAAATAATGTCACTCGAATGGAATAGTCGGACACGTCCCTATAGAGCGGACATTAGAGGTCACAATCACTTCCTTCCATTAAAGTCCCCTCTGGCTCAAGTTATCAAAACACGTCGACAGAATAGAATATCAGTTAACGAGAGTAATAACACAATTTAGACCCCTTACACAAACACAGACAGACAGACTGTTGTTTTGACTGTCACAGGACAAAAAATATTAACTCATATTTAGATTTTTTATGGAATAGAAGACTTTTAATTCTTGTATATAAAAAAAAAACTAAAACGAAATACTTAAATTATCATACAGTTCTACACTCCACGATATAGTCCCAAGAAAGCTGGCTGCGTTTCCTTGCTGAATGACCAAGGGAGGCTGGTGCATCCCACGAGGACTACACGCACTGAGGGCGGAATAGTATTGCGGAATATTAGGTGATGTAGGCAGAATATATTGTGTGATTTCTTACGATAGCTCAGGCTCACGGTAGAGGCTGATTCAATTTGAATAGGTACATAAACGGAGGACCAGTGGGTAATTGCGTGTTCAGAGATACCTGTATCACCAGCGAATCATTTAACGTTAAAGAATCCTCACTTAAACAGCTGCGATGCGGTAGTCTGTGATTCCCAGGTACAATCGCCAGGATACTGCAGATATTTCATACGCTCGCTTATTACACACAAGGTTTAGCAGTTCTGTAGGTTCATTGGTACACCTTTTAATTTACACACGGGTGGGATGCAAAAAAAATCAATGCATCCCGTAGATGATGAGAAATCAAGAGCAAATCACCGTTGTGCACAGCGTTCAAAACACACGAGCGTAATGACCGAGAGGCGGAATCATCCGACATTTTCCGATTTGCAATTTACATTCGAAAAATCGTCACAATATATCATTATTATATAGTCAGAATTTCAATATATCACTTCTTAGACAACCATTTTGTATTGTCCATTGACTAAGTATAGCCATACTTAGTTATACTTAAATAATATTGAATTTCATGATCTTTACTAATTTACGGCTTAATGTTTATTTGCGATAATTGATTCATATCATTCGTCCCATTAAAAAGATGCAAGTATTTTTTTTTACTTTCGATTAGATTTCAAAATTTCATAAAATGTATGAAAAAAACCACGTTGAACGTGAGAAGAACTACATTTATGAACGGGGGTAGACATATGTTCGCCTTGTATTGGCGGTCAAAGAAAATCCACTACCTTATATCGTCGCTTGGGCGTCATAAGAGGCGTCAGAGGGAAACTGGAACATGAGATTGGCAGCAGCATCTTGCTGATAATAACTCAAAATAATAAAAGGCTGCGGTTACCAACCCGCCTGCCAAACGTGGAAACTACGGAAAATTTCCAGCTTATTTGGCAATGTATGGGAAGGTCTATGTTCAGTAGTGGGCTTTGTATAGGCTGCAATGATGACGATGGTGAACTATACTCATCTTCGCTTTATATTTATGGCAGAATTAATTTCTTTCCATCTTAGTCCTCAGGGGTGTATGAATGTAGATGTCTATGTGCCACAGTATCCACTTACCATCAGGTGGACTGTGTGCCCGTTTGTCATCCTTGTTCTATTAAAAAATTAAAATGTGACATTTTTGAAAATATTAATTAAATAAAGCGCGGGAAAACGTCGTTGAATGCCGGAATAAATGTGTGTTCCTATCCAGTTCAATCCCCAGCAGATACAAGTTTGCGTGTTTACCGCTAAAAAGAACCTGTTTGTTGTATCTCCTTTATTTCAAGGCAATCCCCTCGTTGCCTCAGCTACATTGGAATCCTCGGTGTCAGCATATCGAACGACGTTCACTTCCACGGTCACTTGGAAGGGAAGGCCAAATTAGCATCTAAAAAGCTAGGCGTGCTTTGTACAGCGGGACAGGATTTCATGCCGGCACATCGCTTGCAACTTTACCAGGCGCAAATCTCTGTGAAAATTCCTTCTACTTGATCACATCCAGCGCAGAGCGGTTCGAATCTTCGGCAACCCAGCTCTTTCTAAGCGTCTTAACTCACTGGCGCAGCGGAGAATTGTTGCAGCTCTTTGCGTATTTTATTGCATCTACTACAGGAGTGCTTAGAGAAATTGTTCGGACTAATTCCAGCCGCTCAATTTCACAATCGCACATTGCGACAAAACGCGTGATACCATCCATACCATCTAGATGATTGGCAGTCCACCATTGTGCGATTTACAAAAAAAGTTTTCTTCCTCCTACAAATTCCTTATGGAATTTACTACCACCAGCGATTTCTCCGGACCAATACGATTTAAATACCTTCAAGAAAAGAGCCTACTCTTTCTTAAAAGGCGGGCAACGCATCTACAATTCCCCTGGTGTTGTAGTTGATTATGAGCGGCTGTAGTAACTTTCCATCAGGTGAGTCGTATGCTCGTTTGCCCCCCCCCCCCCCTTCATATAAAAAACATGTGTGCGATCACACGCGGTAGAAATGAAACATTCAGAAAACTAAACTTTTAGAGAATGAGACAAATATAGAGTACCCAAGTTTTCATTTTCAACTATTGATACGAGAGTGGTAGGAGCTTAACTAAAGTATGAGTAATGAATGTTACAATCTTCATTTTTAGACATATCTAAATTTGAGTGTAGTAATCCAAATAATATTTTCTTTTGAGTGAAATTGCATTGTAATAGCGCCATCTACTTCTTTCTACAGGTCGTCATTCTATAAATAATTCTCTCAAGGTGTTATGTAAAATAGATAAATCGTGGATTGTAATATTTTAATTTATAAAGTAATATTGTGTGATTTATACAATCAAATGCTTTAGATAAATCACAGAAAAATCTATCAAGTGCTATAAATATGTAGCATTAAGCATGCTCCTGCGTCAGATACGGAGTGTCAACCAAACTTATGATCATGGAGCATAACTTACCGCTATGTACTCTTTTACTCCAGTCTTTTCTCTCCGTATGTAACGTAATAATGACGAGAAACGGAATGACGAGTGTTGTTTTATTGGTAACGAGGCATTCAAGGTCTCCGGGGTGAGCAATTCTTAAGCGAAGATAGGCGTAAATGTCTACGGGTCAACAATATCCACTTGACGCCAGGTGGACCGTGTGCTCGTTAGACACCCTTAGTTGTATATAAAAATTATATATCTTAAGAACCAAATACAAGTGAATGTTTCATTGTTACCTTCAAGCAAAATACTACTGACTGAGATCTCTAAAACTATGCACCCAATTGACTTGAAATTTAGTATAGTTACTCATTTCGCAATTTCGACGCTCACTAAGAACGCATTCCAGGATAGTCTAATAAAAAAATTCTTGATATTTTACATCTGTGCGCCCAGCGAAGCAAGCGGATATCAGCTAGTTATTTATGCAGATCGGCCAGGATAACATAAAAACTTTATTCAAAGCTACCAAACAAATTAAGACATTAAAGCAACTACATAACGGGCATGTAAACATTGATATTGAAAATATAATAAATATATCATAAGATAGATAAAACTATCCAGGTGACATGTCTGTCACAGGTCTCTTGTACGATAACGAGATAGAAATTGCTTTTCATATCGTTTGTTAAAATCCACTCAAAATCCTACAACTATCTTAAGCCAAAAAGTGCTGCAGTCAGAAAATTATATAAATAATTTGTAAAAAAAATATAGATTTTATAAAAGTAAAAATATCCACAAATCTTTCAATAAATATGTTTATTTAAATTATTAGTGACCCTCGTCGATGGTCATGGTCATAGAGCTGGGCTCGTACTCGTGGTCGATGACTCGCGTCTTTATGATCTGCTTGTACACGAAGGCCGATTTCCTGGGCGTGCGCGTGCGTGCCGGGTCCTCGAAGTCCACGTGGTATAGACCGAAACGCTCTCTGAAGTGTGGAATTGAGATAAATGGTTATAATTTTTTTATATTTTTTCTCAAGTTACTAGAGTAGATGAATTACTCTCCATGTAAGCTTACCCTGATCTTAAAGAACAATATAAGACAAACTACTACAACAACAAAATAATAGCAACAAATCGTTTTAGTAATGCAAATTACTCGTAGAAGGCGTATCGTTGGAAAGGTTTTGTGGACATAAAAAGTTAATTGAAACGAAGGCTGTTTTTTTTTTTGACTTATTACAAGCCAGTATTGGTATACAGTAAAGCTTATGTTTACCGTAAAATATCAATTAAAATATTGTAAGATTATTATCAAATAAATAGACAATAATTTAAAATTAAAATTTTGTCCAACCGACTTCAATATATACTACTAAGAATACTCGTAACTCAAAAACTATTAGTGAGACCTTTATCAAATTAATACGAAACCACATAACTAGCACCAGCTTTTAAATAAAAAAACAATCATCGAAATCGGTTCTCGTAGAACAAAGTTATAAGGTAACACACATAAAAAGCATACAGTCGAATTACTCCTTTTTCTTAGGATAGGGTGACAAACGAGCACACAGTCCACCTGATGGTAAGTGGTTGCTGTGACCCATAGACATCCACATCTATCCTCAATAAAGAATCAAAATCCAGATGCGGTATCACCCGTGAGGACTAAGATAAGACTGCTCTGTTGCGCGCATTACAAAAGATGAAGCAAACCGCTTGGTTCGAATGCATGAAGTATCGACAACAAAGGGGTGGAAACCCGCCATCAGTCCGGTTGCCCGAAGGTGGAAAGGGGAGGGAGGAATTAAATATTTTTTTTTATAGGATAGGGTGACAAACGAGCAAACAGTCCACCTGATGGTAAGTGGTTGCTGCGGCCCATAGACTCCTACATTTATCCTCAACAAATATTCAAAATGCAGATGCGTCGTCACCCGTCAAGACTAAGATGGAATGCCTCTTTTCCAGTAAAATGGGTCTCCGGTTCTCTACACTTACCATACGAAACACAGCAGTGTCAAGCTGCTATTTTACGCTGGTATTCTGTGAGAGCATGGTCCTACCCCGGTCGAGCTGACCCATTCGTGCTCAGCTATACTACTAATATAGCTGCAGCATAGCTCTACCACGTAAATTATTGCTGAAATTAAACTTACGTGAAGCCTTCCATCCATTCGAAGTTGTCCATTAGACTCCATGCCATGTATCCTTTTAGGTTCACGCCGGCGTCCAAAGCATCTAGGGCACTTTCAAGTGACGCTCGGTAGTAGCTTATCCTGTCGTCATCTACGAGTCCATCACCAGGAGAGGTAGACCAGCCGTTCTCGGTAATGTAAATCACGGGGCTGTTATATTTATTCTTGAGATGGGTAAGTGCGTTGAGGATACTATCAGGTGCTTTCTAAAGAAGGAGAAAAACGGACAATTCAATTTAAAATATTTGGTTGTCATTATTAATGTGTTTGTATTTTGAATTTGGCCATTTGGTTTTCGTATCCGATTTGGACATACATACTCTACTAAGAATTTTAAATAGCGGACAGAAGCAGAAGTAGTTAACATCATAAGTTTTATGAAATAATACCGCGACAAGTTAATTGCATTAATTAAAAATAAAATTGAAGTCATCATCATCATCATTACCTTCACAAGTCCTCTGCTGAACATAGCCCTCACCCAAGGAATACCACAAACACTTTCCTGAGCCACCTGCATCCATCGACTTCTTGTCTTACCAGTTCGTCACTCCATCTAGTGTTCGAGCTATATGTCCAGCTAATTGCCACTTCGGCCTACTAATCCGTTGGAATATGTGGGTTACTCTGATCCTACTACGGATATCATCATTTCTAAGTCTATCATACAGAGAAACTAAGATCATAGCTCGCTGAGCGACCTTAAGCTTTCTTATATGACCAGCTGTACACACACATGTTACATGTCTCAGATTCTAGAAAAGTCATCACTGGCAACACCTCAACACTTGAACACATGTACATTTATTTCATCAATTTTACGATTTTGTACAACCAGTGTGTTGTAAAAAATCGTAAAATTGATGAAATAAATTAGCTTCGGTGATTATCTTAACTCTAAATAATATCATATTAATAACCGGGCGAAGCCAGGAAAGTCGCTAGTATGTAATAAACGTAAAATTTTTTGGTCATTTTTCTCACAATACTAGTATCGCACTGTTTTGTATGGTGAGTGATGAGAACCGGAAAATCCTTTTATTGTCAAAAAGATATTCCGTCTCAGTGTTCAAAGGTCAACTCTGCAATTGCATTTTCAAAATCTGCATTTTGATTCTTAAGTAGATGTTTATGGGCTACAGCATTCACTTACAATAAAGTGTACTGTGTGTTCGTGTGATCAAAAATGATTGCGGACCAAAAAGATTTATTTGATTTATTTACATGGTAGATATAGACGGAGAAGAATTACAAGAACTGAATCACGCACACCGGTATTTTGCTTGTCAAAACTGGCGAGCTATTCCTGTTTCACCTGGGTAGGACCTATTAATGTGGCGTTATTTAGTACAATACAATACAAACACTCACGCCAGTCACCCAGAAGGGTAGGCAGAGACTACGGACTTCCATTTAGCGCGATCCTGACACACCTCTCTCGCCTCCTTTACATCCATATATTTAGGCATACACGCTCGTCGGTTAAGGGTACTCCTAATCTGGCCCATTTTCAATGTATCGCCGATTTGGTTGATAAATCATAGTCTAGGGCGTCCCTTCCCGACTTTACCGTTCACTTATTATTATTTAGGTTTAAGCAAATTAAACAAATACCACTTCCTCAAAATATTCTCCAAGTTTTTGTATAATAAATAGCCTAGCTCACTCCTGGCATTGTTCTCTGTCTGTTCACTAAGTTTAATTATAATAGTTTCAGCCATTCCGAAGATTAGTAGTAGTAGAAGATCAGACAGACAGACAGACAAAAACTTTTAAAAGTGCTTATTAATGTCATAATGATATGCAACCCCCTCAGCTTAATATAAGGCAGTATTACAGACGAACACTTCAATTTTATTTATAGGTATGGATAACAGTTAGCTCACATTATCTTTACTTATGTTTTCACAAACACTACACATTAAATATTTAAATATAACTGAGTTTAAAGAGACAAAGACCATGGCTCTAATATGGGCGGGGCGGGGGGGGGGGGGGGACGTGACCATGGGTGCTATAAAGTACATTAAACTTCGTAAATTTAATGTGACATAATCAGTAAGACGTAGTTAAATAAACTTACGTTTAACCATGAGGATGCAGCTGTAGGCCAATCACCTGGAACATAGCTTCCAACATCTACATCATCATATAAAGAAGGTACTACATACTCCTCCTTATCTTCCGTTGCCGAAATTAAAAAGGATGAATAATGATTCACTCCGAAGAAGTCAGCTGAACCTTTTACAAAGGCCTTCTCGTCATCAGTAAACTCAGGCATGCGGGATCTGGGATATCCTTGCTCAATACTTTTTTGGGCGACTTTTTCTGAAAGTTCCTTAGGAAATCCACCGTCTTCTGAAAATATTGGCTCTGCGAAGAGGCCCCACTAAAACATATAAAAATTAAATAAAACTCATATTCTTTGACAAGCAAAACTCAAAATTTTTAAAATTACTCATTTTTGTCTCACCTCTCCTTGTCTCTTTAATTCAGCTGCAAATTGGTCTTCTTCTGAGTCAGTCTTTGGCCCGAACCAATTAACGCTGATTGTAATGCCACAAACTCCACCTTGACTTGGAGCAAAGTCATTTTTGTAGGCGTGATAAGCTCTAGCATGTGCCATGACTAGGTTCTTTGCACAGCGATATACGCCTATGCCCGTGGCGTTTACTTGTGGGGCCTTTGAAATCCAATCGTATCCTTCATAGCAGATCTCTCTAGGTTCGTTAAACGTTATCCAATGCTTAACTCTGTCTCCAAATAGCTCAAACACTATTCTAGCATAGTCTTCGTACCACTCCGGGAACAGAGGGCTCATAAAGCCACCTAAATCTTGAAGTTTTTGGGGTAGATCCCAATGATAAAGTGTTACCATTGGAGTGATACCATATTTTAGCATTTCATCGATATAATTGTTGTAGAACGCAACGCCTGCTTCACTGACCTTGTTGGCTAAGCCATTGGGCAATATTCTGGACCAGGATAGAGAGAAACGGTAAGCGTCCAGACCAAGTTCTCTCATCATCTCAACGTCGCGCTTGTAGTTGTTGTAAGTGTCCGACGTGATGTCACCATTGCTCAGGTCCTTGATTACAGTTGGATTACTGTGAGTCATGCGATCCCAAATGCTTTCGCCTTTATCTGAAATAAAATACAACGTTAAAATTGTTTTTCTTTTAATGTATTCATGTATAGTGTAAATGTACGAAGAGTATAGTACCATCTGCGTTCCATCCTCCTTCTATTTGATACGCTGCAGTAGCTGTCCCAAAGAGGAAATCATCAGGAAATCGCCGTTCCTGTTTCGTCGTTAGGGCACTACAGCCCACTAGAAATAAGCTGGAATAATAATATTGTAAGTCATTTAGGCGAAACAGTACACAACTAATCCTCTGTCTGTCTTCCAAATAGTTCGTTAAAAATCCGATTTAGTGAAATTTTATTTTCATGTTAATTTTTCTAATTATTGAATATTTAATAATACATTTAATGAAACACATTACACATTTAATAAAACTACTTTTACGAATTTTTCTCGCCTTTGATTTAAGCTATTCTTTCTTATTATCGACATTTCAGGTGCACTGCAGTACCCGTGATCACGAGGAGGACTGAGATATTTGCGTCCTCTTATCATAGTTAACCTTGAGTACGTTCAGCCTATAATTATTAATTTTACGTTTGAATCTACGCGAGGTAGACCGAGACTAACTTTCGAAGACCATGTGAGCAAATTGCCCGAAGAGGGTAGGGTCAAGAGTACTCGGATACCTAGACGTGCATGTATGAAGAAGATAATGAATCTGAAAGAAGCGAAAGAGGTATGTAAGGATCGTGACACTTGGCGATCTGTTCTCTCTGGCTACCCCGTCAGAGATTGTGCGTGAAGATACTCGTAAGTAAGTAAGTAAGTAAGTAGAATCTACGCTAAATGACCTTACTGTTGCGAATTTACAATGGTATGCTTCGATCAGGATTGAATTTTATTATTTACAGGATACCAAGCAGGTAGTGATACACAGCCTCCTTTGTATCATCCAATGTTTTTTTATTTTATTTCAAAAGCCCTACGTATCATCCTTGATGGAGGTTAATCCTTTTTTGTATGATTTGTGTCTATCAAATCTGATGAAATGACAGGGGCAGTCAAGAATATGATCACAGATACATCAAAGATAGAATTTTTTTTCCAAGAACTCAATCGAGGACCTAATCTACATTGTTTGTAAGAGAAAAGATCAATTCACAAGGTTATTTACTATACACAATAATAGTTAGTCTCTCTAAATGATGATAAAACAAATGAATAATGTTGTTAAGTTAATGCTTAGTGCTTTTTGATTATTTTAACTTAAATGCTTCAGGATCTTTATGTTAATCGACTCTATTTTGCATAAGTGGTTTGTGTATTAAGGATTCAAAACTACTGATACATATTTAGAATTAATAGATTGTCTATTGAATATATAATAGTATCAGAGTAGAATCTCGACAAGTTCGTAAAACGAAGTATACGATTTATGATGTCGTTAATATTCGTACAGTAAATTAACTAAATGTTAATTTACTGTCTTTTTCTAATTTCAAATCATCACTTCAGATTTCCGATTTAGAGGAGGAAAACAAATAAGGGGATGGGCAAGGAAAGGGACTATAAATAAAAATCAAAAAAACAAATAAAAATCTGCGATTCCCAAACCGCTTGCCGAGCGTGATAACTATGCCAATTATCGCCATATGAGGCAAGCTATAGGAGAGGCCTATGTTTAGCTGTAAAGTTTAATAGGTTGTAATGTTAACCTGATTTACTCTTCAGGACAAAGTGACAATATTTACATTTTTTTAAGTTTAAATATGTTAACTATCACTACAGAAAGAGAAAAGCATTCTGTAAAAGAGTACAGTCAGAGGCTGATGTAATAATTTCCATAGTATTCATGTCATCCCTGTTAGCAGCATTGCTGCAGTAACAGATACTGACGTAATGGTACCTAGTAATAATATAAATAAATAATAAATCAATTAAATAAGAGTGGGCCGAGATGGAATCCCTGAGGGATACCTGAAATATCGGGAACGATTTCTTTATAATTTTTTCAAAGCCTAAAATATGAGGAATGATTTTTTTACAAATTTTTCAAAAATGTAAGTAAGAAACGAACTCAAAGTCCACCTGGTAGTGACTACCGCAGTACATGAACACCTGCTGACTGCACTTCAAATAAAGAAAACTACATATGCATTGTCACTTTAGAGCAAAGATAAAATGTCTGACAACCTGTAATTATATTAGCTCTCTTTACCTTTCAGACCAAAACAAAGCAGTTCAATCACCATTACTTGCCGCCAGAAATAGGTAAGAGACTGGTAATTACACAGATGGACTCCCAGGAAGAAAAAGAATCCTACCACCTATCGCTTTCTGAGTGCCCTGAGCAAGTCCGTCACGGAGTCCCAGTGGACTCCTTCATGGACTTGCTCCGGGATCACATACAGAAAGTAATAGGCCATTGGGCCTCAGATGACTCTAGAGTCTAACTGAGAGTAACGCAGCCGTAGAAACGACTACAGGAATAATTTTGATCGGCATATGTATCATATCACATGTCGGTCGGCATTGTACCAAGACTAAATATCATTTCTACAAATAGAACCGTGAGAGAGGTTTCCATTAGATTCTTGAAAAACAAATATTGACTAATAGGAATATTTTAAAAATAAATACGTACCTTATAACTACGAACAGCTTCATGTTATGTATATATTTTGAAGCAATTGTTACATAAAATGCGATGGTAGCGATTTATATAGCTCATCTGATGAACGTTTATCTCCAACAGGGGAGATAATATGTAAAATAATCACTTCAATCGGTTATCTAAGACAGGTAGTCAACTCAATAAGTATCGGATTGATGGACTTCTCCCACTAAAGCAATTTAATGTACATTTTCTGTTTTATTTTAAAAGGAGAATGTATGAAATAATAAAAAATATTAAGAGACAGTAGTTTCGATTTTTGTTTTTATTGTGTAACCATGTAGTGGCGGTGTAAGAGTATCCACTACCCAATACCGTCCTGCGGGTGTTGTAAGAGGCAAACATTGAGTTATAAGTACTAGTGCGTAGTACATATATATGGATGGAGACAACAATGGCAATCAGCATCATCATTACAGACCCTCACAAGTACACTGCTGAACATAGGCATTCCCCAAAGAATGGCATTCCCCAAAGAATGGCACAAAGCACGGTCCTGAGCTACCTGCAACCATTGACTTCCTACATGTCTTACCATATCGTCACTCCATTTAGTAGGGGGTTGCCCTGCACTTCGTCTACCGGTACGAGACTGCACCTCGAGAAACTTTTTTCGCCATCGGTTGTTGGTTCTTCGAGCTATATGGCCGGCCCATTGCCACTTCAGCTTACTAATCCTTTGGGCTATGTCGGTTACTCTGGTTCTACCGCGAATAACCTCATTTATAAGTTTATCACGCAAAAAAACCCCGAGCATAGCCATCTCCATAGCTCGCTGAGCGACCTTGATCGTCCTCATTTGGCCGGCAGTGCCAGAAGTCATAAGTCATCACTGCAATCTCGTTTGCGGGTTTTGAGGTATACCTGACGAGAAGATGTGTCGTGGTCTCCCGAACGCTGCCCAGCCGAGTTGAATTCGTCGATTGACCTCTCGGTCGAAGTTGGACTTCCCTAGTCAGACTATTTGTCCCATGGAAACATACTCATCAACAACTTCGAACTTAATGCTTCCAACAACTACCGGCATGGGTGTGACATGCACATTATACATGATTTTTGTTTTGTCTATGTTCATCTTAAGACCTATCCGTTGGGATACACTATTGAGGTCATTGAGCATATTGCTTAGGTCCTCCAGCGATTCTGCTATAAGTAAAACAAAAATCATTTCAACATAGACATACTGTGTCAAAGACCTAAGACCCGACTTAAGAAACTATACTGAGTAACTAATAAAAACGAATGTGCCAGCTATGTTACTTACTTCGAATATCGTAAAAGGCGACTAATGGGATATTGAGTTTGTGATGGCGTAGACGATAGGCTAGCCACCCATCACTTCTTTCAAAATTTTCCATCTAAACCAATATTTTTTGGTTAAACGTGGTACTAGGATAACTCGCTGCACTTTTTACTCTGTCCCTGTAAAAATACTCTGTAAAATTGAAATGTCGTCCTCAGAAATCTGCCACATGGGGCCATGATCCCTCTAGATTAGCACGCCTATAGCTACCACTAACAACCTCCACGTTTATTATAAGGTGGATGTCATCCTGTGTCATATTTCATATATCAACAAAGCCGATGGAAATATTTTGAGGTACTATTACCATTGCATGTACTTACTACAAGCGCATAGATTAATCGAAATTATGCACTGAAATTTTTTAAGTACATATGTCAAACAACATTACAAAGGGAATCTATATTTACTAGTGTCAACATTCAATTGATAAAAATATTAAAGTCATCTGTCATACTACCTTGATAGTAAAAATAAACTCCTTTGGAGGTACTCATGTTTAGATATCATGGATTATTACATAACTAAACGCTATCTCTAATCTTCACATTACGACAGCGAGTCGTTTAAATCCCTGGCGGCGCCAATGAACTTGGTAATTGAAATTTTAAACGGCTGATTTACCATGTGAAATAAAACTAGCCAAGAAATCTGAAGTTCTAAGAAATAATATTTCAGATACAAATATAGTCTGTAGGTCTACTTACGAAACCTTTGCGCAGCGGTGAGACGCACTGTAACTTTACCTTTTCAAAAAATAAAAATTTAAATAAATCAATACTAAATTCATACTAAGAACGAATTCCATATTGGGTAAACAGAAGTTAGAATATATTGCATGGGAAGGGAAGAGTCATGGCTTTCAGTAATTATTATCTCAGAACAATAATATCAATGTGTTATTTCTCCAGGTTCAAATATTTATTATTATTATAAAAGTAACTCTTTCATATAAAATATTTAGCTCAATTTTACATATAATGCTTCAGTGAATTCGTTTCCTTCAAGCCTGATATTTCTGGCGACTTCCAAAAAGGAGACGGTACCCAATTCGACTGTATGTTTTTTTTTTTATGTGTGTTACCTCATAACTTTTTACTGGGTGAATGGATTTCGATGATTCTTTTTTTTTTGAAAGCTGGTACTTCTCGTGTGGTCCCATATGAATTTGATCAAGGTCAGACCAACAGTTATTGAGTTATTCTTAATAACTTATATTGTAGTCGGCTGTACAAAATTTTTAATTATAAATTATTTATGTAAAGATTTAGTGAGGAATTGGTTACAACTAGTGAAAAAGAAACAACTGAAATATGAAAAAAATATCTATGGTAAATTTTTAATATACTTACCACTTTTTTTTTCATATTCTTACAATGTCACAGGGTTCTGAGCTATGTTCAAATTTCAAGTCTTTCGCTCTTCAGGAAGTTAATTTCAAATTAATTATTAATTTCGACCCAGACAGACATATATAAAAGAGAGTTAATAAAAACTTACGACTGTGATTCATGCTTTAGCAGCAGCTCAAACCCTTTTTGGGCGATGTGATTCCTATTTAAAGATTTAGGTGAAACGAGCGATACTCCAACGGACTTATTGTTATGTCGTAAGTTCTGGGCTGAAGATTGAGTTCAAACGTGGTATAGTTACGCTACAGCTACATTATGGTTAGTATGAATAGCTCGGCTCGACCGGGGAAGAACCACGCTCTCACAGATTACCAGCGTGAAATAGCAACTTAATGCTGCTGTGTTGCGTATGGTGAGTGTAGAGGACCGCAAACACTTTTTACTGGAAACGAAGCATTCCATCTTGGTCTTCAGCGCAGACTTCTTGCGCGACAGGACAGCGCATCTACTTAATCGAGGCTAGAAGTAGGTGTCTCTGGGCCACAGCACTCACCACCCGGTGAGCTTACCATCAGGTGGCTAGTGTGCTTGTTTATCACCCTTATTCTATATAAAAAAGAATTTCTTTCTCTAATATACGTGTCAAGAAACAGTCTAAGATACTGCTGTACAAGGGTATTTACAGTAAAAGTTTCTTAGGACTAAACGTCTCGCACCTTTGACAAATTAAAGAAGAGCATAACTGTTTGCCCAAGATCCTGATCCTGATACGGCAGGAGCTTCTTGGGTGATGGAATGTATTGATTTAAATGAATTCAAAACTAAAAATCTTGCTTTTAATCGTATATGCATATAATTTAAGAACTTAAAGATGAAATGCAATTTTTATATTGAAAGATATATACGAAAAACTAATAATTTATTATATTGTGTAATAATTTTTATAATATTGTGTCTTGAACCGTTATGATCGATCGTGTTCGTCCGTTCCAATTCAAATTTTTGATGTGCCCGGGCTATTTGTCACTGTCATATGTGTCACAGTTGCATTTCGAGTCACGGTAGAACGTAAAATTTTTCGTAAAACCTAGTAAGTAAAAAATAATTAAAAACTGAAAGTTACATCATTAACCTGAAATAAAATCTGACAATGTCGATTTTTGACGTAAAATTACGGAGAGTGGTTATAAAAGGAACAAAAAAACTGCAAGCATACGGGTTTGCAACACTCGACCTCAGTGTAGACAATCCTTACGAGGAATTCTCTCAGTTGTTTTAAAAAAAGAAAACGAGATATCTGGACCGCGGTTTTGATGAAATAGAAATAGTTGAGAACCATAGTTCAACATATTTATATTTCTAAACATATTTATGCATCCATGAACCTTTGAGACACATATTTAGCAAACAAAACCACTTTTATCTTTACCTACATCAGCCCATAGAAGTTCACTGTTAGTTACGGTCTCATTTCATTCATGGTACACGTGGTAATTGTTATTTCATTTTCATTTATTTCATATCTTCAACCCTTCATTTTCGAAGTGGGATAAATGTAGCCTAGTATAATATGTTACCTATGTGCCGGCGCTGTCGTCGCGCCACAAGCGAAACACGTCAAAGTCTAAATCACGCTAACAATGTTCCGAAGTTAAAGCTATATATATAGAAGAGCTCCGAACTACCACTCGGAGCTTTGGCCGCTCCCCGGGCAGAACACCTTGCCCGACGGGAGATCTCCCCTTATCCTTTCACCCGCCACAGTGGTGACCCCGACGTGATATGAACACGCAACCAACAACCTTCAGAAACTACAACTTCAAACCTTCGTCATCATCCTCAAGTACCCCATTCATTCGCTCCCGAGCTGATATTGTCTGCAGTCTTCACATTCTGCAAGTCATCTAGCTTTACAAAGGTTCATCGCAGCACTGGAATAATAATGCTTCCTGTTCCTTCAAGCTACTCTCTGCGCTACAGTGTTCGGCACGGCTCTGAGCCTTACTGCTCGCCTCTGCTTCACGGCACTCTCGCAGATTACTTGCCTTCTTCTCGATTCACCGCAGACTTACAAGGCATTTACCTGGCACTTGCAATCGGTTTGCACTATCGACCTCCGGTCTGAGCAGGGGGGTGATGTGGCGGCGCTGTCGTCGCGCCACAAGTGAAACACGTCGAAGTCTAAATCACGCTAACAAAGTTCCGAAGTTAAAGCAATATATATAGAATAGCTCCAAACTACCACTTGGAGCTTTGGCCGCTCCCCGGGCAGAACACCTTGCCCGACGGGAGATCTCCCCTTATCCTTCCACCCGCCACACCTATTCCCCAATTGAAC